CAATGATGTATGTCCGGAAGAAATACAAGTTGTTACCACCGGACATTGTCATTATATATCCACCATCAGCATCGTGTATAAAAGGGCATCATTGAGTGAGGATGCCTCATTCGAGAAGATGGCTCACTGAGGAAGATCTGGCTCGACACGAAGACGAAGACGCAACGTCGAGGCGAACAACAAGCATAGACCATCAACTCGGATCACCGGCTCTGAGAAAAGCGAAGATGTCGAAACGTTAGCCGAAAATAAATATATTTATCAACCTCGTGCAAGCTTATCAAGAAAGAATACTGTTTAGTTATTTTACGATTTCTTGTATAATTATTAAGACACTGACCACCAGGTGATCGAACTTCCTCAAAAAGACTCTCTGCAAAAAATGGATTGTTTTTTATGGATCTCCAGAGATCAAACCTATGGGAACCTATGAGACAACCCAGACACTCCAGCAAAACAAGTGGAGAATGGTGGCGCCCGTCCGAATCAATTGACAGTCAATGAAAAGATAAGTATGTAGGTATAAAAATTATACCTACAGCCACTTTAGCTAGTTTCTCTATTTTTTCCCTACAACCACTTTCTTAACAGTTACTTCGTAAGGAAACATGAAAGATCTAGCATTGAGGGGAGCGTCACCTCATTCATGTCTTTTATTTCTTTCCATCATTCAACGACAACCCCTCAACTGAACCATAACAAAAAAAACTACTTTCTTGATTTCTATAGCTATACTAGTAGAAAAGACCCATTTATTTTTCCCGAAATCCCTTGAAATCGGCAAGTTCTAAATTGTTTTTTCGCATCCATCATTCTATCCAATCATCCATTCGCAAGGGTTTACTAGTCGGAACATGTTCTCATGATGTACACACACATATTCTCTAAAGGCATTTATATATTTAAAGTATAGAGGATAAAGCTCTCGGCTGTGATCAATCCTTAAGGGATGCGTCATGCTACCGACTTCATCGTTTGGAGGTGACTGAATGCATAGCTGACCTCTACAATGACTCACGGTAGTCTACTGATGTACCGAGCCAGTGCTGCTATCCTCCCAGATAAGTCTGGTACTAATTTGCCAAAGCCAGAGAGATGGAAGGCTTGGTGGGCCACGGTCGCGGTGGTCGATCACATGTATGGGTGTCAGGGCGTCTCCGGGCACTGCGCCACACGCACCCGTTGTATATATATATATATATATATATATATATATATATATATATATCCTGTAGTCTCGTTGATCGTCAAGTGACTCGAGCGAGTGCCAGTAAATCTTCCATTTTTCCCTGTCGCATGCAAGAGTAACCCACTGAGTTCTGCTCGTTTTAGGGACTCGTCGAGTATCGTATCTTTCTTCAAGGCTCTTTGTGAAGAACTCTGACCATCGGGTGGGTGGTCTTCCTGCAGTACGTTTGACATCCCGAGGAATCCAGTCACTAACGGCTCTTGTCCATCGGTTGCCATTCATACGCATTACGTGTCCGGCCCACCTTATCTTCGACTGTTTAGCGTACAGAACGGCATCTTTGACTTTTGATCGTTGACGCAGATCGGAGTTTCGGATCCCATCCCTTACTTGCGTGGAACGGGATACTCCTAGCATTGTCTTTTCGACTGCGCGTTCGATAACGCTGAGTGACTTTTCATCCTGCTTGCGCAGCGACCAGGTTTCTGACGCATAAGTCAGGGCAGAAAGTACCGCTGAGTCGAAAAGGTGGGCACGAAGTCGGGTATTTTTTGTACTCTTCACCACAACCTCGATGCTCTTGAAAGGTCTCCTAGCAGCTTCTTTCCTTCTGCTCGGCTCTGGAGCTAAGTCGTTCATCATATTAATTTCCCGACCTAGATAGATGTAACTGGAACATTCTGAGATATTCGTCTCGTTGAGCGTGAATGGGGAATGCGAAACCAATCCGTTCTTCATGAACATCGTTTTTATGAGATTAAGTCGAAGACCAATCTTTCCACAGGCTTTATCAAACTCGTCAAGCCTACGTTCCGCTTGGCTAATGTTTGGTGTCATAAGGACGATGTCATCAGCAAAGCGAAGATGCTGCAACTGCCGCCCACCGATTTTCACACCCATATTATCCCATTCCAATGTTCGCATGACGTTCTGGGGGGTGGCGGTAAATAATTTTGACGAGATGGTATCGCCTTGCCTAACTCCTCTTTTCACTTCAATTTTAATATCGTTGTAGAATGGTGATACATTGGTTGCGCAGTATTTGTACAGCTGACGAAGAATCTTTATGTACTGAGTAGGGACTCCTTGACTATCAAGGTCTTCCAAGACTGCTTCTATCTCAAATGATTCAAAAGCCTTCTGTAAATCGATGAAAGTGAGACAGAGCGATCTTTTGTACTCTCGCGATACTTCAATGAGCCTTGTTATCCTGTGGATGTGGTCCATCGTATCAAATCCTTTTCGGAACCCTGCATGCTCACATGGCTGTCCTTCGTCTAGTGTTCTATCAATCCTGTTTAGGACGATTCTAGTGAAGAGCTTGTAGACGACAGACAGCAAGCAGATTGGGCGGTAGTTGCCGATATCACGTAGGTCACCCTTCTTGAACAATAACACGGTCTTGCTTCCACTGAGTAGGGACCTTGCATTCAGACAGGTAACGTGTGAAGAGCCGAGCCAGTGTGTTTACGAAGACTGGTGGAAGGTTCTTCAGGTGTTCTGGTCTTGTCCCGTCAGGACCTGGTGCTGTTCGACTTTTCACCGACGAAATGGAATGTCGGATTTCGGAAGGGAGAACCGGTGGTACAACATATCCATCCTCCTTTATTTCATATGACGGAAGGTGAACGTGGCTATTGAAAGGATCCGAGTAGTATTGGTGAATAATTTCCTCCATTGTCTTTTTGGACGCTGTAACTGTTCCGTCTGGGCGCCGGAGTTCAATCATTTGGTCTTGTAATTGACGAAGCTTCGGTGGGCTTTGCGAATGCTTTTCAGAGCCTCTGCATCTTCGACCATTACTGATGTTCTCTGTTTAAAATCGTCTTTTATCGCCTGTCTGGTTTTTCTTTCATGTTCGGACATCCGTTCGCGGTTGCCTACAGCTCGTGCGATTCCACGCTGGCGTGTCAGCTCAAGCGTTTCTGGACAGAGATGTTTCTTGGTAACTTTCGAACTCTGAGCTTTCATAGCGCTAGCGTGAAGATGTTGAATGAACAGATCGTATTCTTCGTCGATGTTATCGACAATGGCATCTTCCCAACAGTCGACTAGTGAATTGAATACGTCCCAGTTTGCGGTGGTTCTGAGGCCTCGGTTTTGGAATTTAGTGGCTTTTTCTCCTTTCCGCAAGAAATAGAATCTTGCACGAAGGAGACTATGGTCCGATCACGTGTAGAATTTTGGGACTGGTCTATTTCGTTATGGTACTCTCCATTGAGAGAACCCCACGTCCAGCGCTGAGAGTGGGGCTTCTGGAATTGCGAGTTACCATGAATTGTCTTGGTCACCATGATAAACTCAGACAGCCGCTCACCCTGTTCGTTCCATTCTAATTCGTGACTACCAATGTTACGTTCTTCTTCGTCCAGTCTTGGCGTTGAAATCTCAAATGATGACGTTGAAGAATTTATGGTCGTCTCTGTAGAACTTCTCCAAGTGCATGTAGAACTTTTCGACCCCTTCTTCGTCACTGTTTGATATCGGCGCGTAAACGACAAAAATTGTCAAAGCCGGTATTGATCCAAATCTTTTTAATCGTAAACGTCCGATTCGAGTTGTAAGTTGTTCGAATGAATCGATGTTCATGGACAAACTCGTGTTGAGGAGAACGCCGATGCCGCCGACTCTTCTACTGTCACATGTTCCGAGCAACAGCTCTTCTCCGGTGTCATAGGCGGTGCTGAAGGGGTGGCGTCGTCTTGTCTCGGCCAAGCCGATGACGTCGTACTTTGTCTTTCTCGCTTCCATGATCAAATCTTTCATCGAGGACTCCAATGCAAGGGTACGTGCATTGTAGGCACAGATCGTCACCTTAGTTCTTCGTCATCCAGGCGGCTTCCATTGGCCCTGCGATTTTAGCAACCTCTCCGTACTCGTTCTACCCGACGCTGCTAAATTGGGGGCTCTTTCGGGGTCAGGGGAATGAGGCCTGTTTTTTTTTACTGTGTTCAGCATTTTGATACCCACGTATAGCTTGCTGGGCTCTGAAAGTGGAGGCTGGATACACTCTTGGGTAGCCTGCCAGTCTCTCCCAGAGTGGACATGGAGCTTATATGTTGGAGGCGACTCCTAACCGCCCCCCATATACTTCCCTGTCACTTGATTGCAGGCTTTTGGCCGAATTGACTGGTAGAATACAATCCGCATAAGCAACAACGCACGCACACACGCATGCATGAATACGCCTAGCAAATACAGAAAGTATGTGCCAAATCAGCGCAGCAGAAAGAGGGTGTCCACCCGCTGGATCCACCTGCGTCTCAGGAAAGGAAAGATCGCTTTTGGTCTGCGATTAACCCCCTATTCGTCACCTGGTGACGCTCCACGTAGTCTCGCGACTAACCGGCTCGAGATTTCTCATATGAGGGAAATCCGTGGATATATATATATATATATATATATATATATATACGATTCACCAC